GCAGGAAAGATAACAATGGAGGTCTTCTGGCCCAACTCACACCATTTTGATAGCATGCTAACATCGGTTACTTAATCATTACAGATAACTTTGGAATAGATTTTACAGTTGTCTTTATCTTGAGTATTAGAATTAAGGCAAAATGAAAATAGAAGCAGTTTTATTCCTAATGATGCTTAATTGTTAAGGAAAGATAAATATATGTGGAATTGCTTTCTTTAAAGGACAATATTCCATTTAGATTTCAACTTGTCTGTTTAGTGAAAGTCTGTAGCTCCATTACATTTTCCTTTCTTTTTTTAAGTTTTTTTCCTTGAGTGGGAAAAAAGTTATAGAATCGTTATATGTAATCATTACAGAATGACATCCTTGCTGTCATTTTTCCCTCCCTCTCTTCCCTTATCTCTTCCATTTGTTTCTTTCTCTCTTTTTTTTTTTTGCTGCACTGCACAGCTTGCGGGGATCCCTTAGTTCCCCCACCAGGGATCAAACCCATGCCCCTGCAGTGGAAGTGCAGTGACCTAACCAGCGGACCACCAGGGAATTCCCTCTTCCATTTGCCTCTTTTTTTTCCATTTGAATACTTTGCTCTTTCTACTATCTTATCTTAATATTCACTCCATGGATCCTTTTGAGGCTTCAGGGTCTCGGGCCCAGCACCAAATGGTATTTGGGTCTTTGCTTTAGCCTGACCAACAGTAGTTCAGGACCCAGCTCCATACAGTTACACGGAGTCTTCAGTTAGTGTTTCCCCCACTCCTACTTCATGCCCTAAATTTCAACATTTATTGTGACGATTGTCTTGGAAATTAAAGTTTTCACATGCTTAATGAAAATTCAAAAAACTTTTTTTAATGGTAAAATGTTTCTTGAACTTTTAGACTATGACAAGAAGAGGAAGTAGTCCAGGTAGCCTCGAAATTCCCAAAGACCTCCCTGATATTCTGAACAAGCAGAACCAAATGCGCCCTATTGATGACCCAGGTGTGCCCTCAGAATGGACTTCTCCTGCCAGTGCAGGGAGCAGTGATCTTATCAGCTCAGATAGTCATTCGGATTCTTTCAGCGCTTTCCAATATGATGGCCGAAAATTTGACAGCAAGTATCTTTTTTCTGTTTGAGCAGTACAGTTTTTTGTTGATTTGTTTTCTGTTCGAGACTGACTGACAGTTTACGTAACCATCATATTCCTCTCTAACATTACTTAGGGGTTCCCGTATACGTATTTTGATTTCATTTTCAGTGAAACTCCAAAAGAATTTTTAGGGAATTACTTCAAGTTGAGACCTCTTTATTTTGCCAACTAAAGGCATTTAAAAAACAAAAAAACACTGTTCTTTCATAGAACAAATGATATTTTAAGACCAGACACATAGACAGGAAAAAGGATGGACTTGGTGTTAGAATAAAGGACAGTCATGGTTATGAGTTGGACTATTTCATGCAGTCGTATTTGGGGACCACTATCTAGTTATGGTCAGTGCTTCAGCATGTTCAGTACAGTTACATTCAATGCTATGGTACCCAGAACCTTACTTGAATAATTGCTTGATGTTAAAATGACATCAGTGATATTATTTGGTGCTATATTACTACCACATAGCTTTTCTGCTGTAATTCTGTATTACACTTGGCAGTCAGTGAAGGGTACCAAAATTTAAAAGAAGAAAGTCAAAATCTTGGGAACCAACTTTGTGAAGAGCTGGGAGATGCGTTGGAGAATTATGTTTCTTGCCCTCATGGATTATATACTACTCTGATCTTGGACTGGAAATATGATTTGAGAGAAAAATGACGCTTACCACGTATCTGGCATTTTTATTATATATATCTCTCTTCTATAGATTATAAAACTTGAAAAGCAGTTAAGTATATTTCCAGCTATCAGAAAACACAGATAAGAATAGTGATGATACATTGTATGTCTCTGTCCTTTTATCATTATGAGGCTATGAGGATCTTTAAAAATTTGTTTCTAGTTATAAACTTCAAAGTGTTAACATTATTTACCCTTGCCTGAGTTGTATGTAAATAGAATTAATTTTGAGGGAATGTTCATATTTAATTATTTTGATGAAGTAGCTGTGTCTCTTTTGTAAATATTTTTGTTTTGTAATTGGAACTTCTGTACACTAGCATTTCTTCTTCCTGTAGATTTTGGTTTTGGAGCTGATACTGGGAATGCATCCTCTGCTGATGTGGATTCAGGTTCTGGCCATTATCAGAGTGCTGAAGAGCAAGAAGTGGCTAGCCTAACCACACTCCACATCGATTCGGAAACAAGCAGTCTTAATCAACAAGCTTTTTGTACTGAAGTTGCAACGGTTACTGGTAAAGTTACTCAAGGGAGTGTATTCCTTAAGTGCATTTTTTTTTTTAAGCCACCAAAGAACCTTTTCAGACTTGTATTTGATAGATTTTATGTATTACTTATTACTATTTAAGTATTATTTTTTTCACTCATCTTTATGTAACAATGGAGGGAAAAAAACATTAATATAAGAGTTTTTTGACCTGGAGTCCACAAGGATAAGCTTCAGGGAACTCTATGAACTCCTAATACCGTACGCAAAATTTTGTGTATGTTTGCACCAGAGCATTTCCTGCAGCAATTTTTAAATAAATAACCAAAAATAGTTGAGGTACTGCACTTTACCTTTTTCATTGATTTTCAGAGTTAGCCTAGATTTTTGTAGATTTCTTTGGTTAAACTATTTATTATTGCAAACATAAAGCACACTGCCTAAAATAAGGTCTGTTTCTCAGTATACTAATATTCTGTATTTATATAGTAAATTAATAAGTAAATTATGCTTTTCAGCAACTTTTTGTGTGTGGTCCAACCTGACAATAATATGAAAAGTAGGGTCCAAGAAATTGAGTCATGAAAGGCAGGGTCACATTATTCCAAGAGCAGTACCGTGACCAGAGGGAGCCTGAGCAGCCTGTGGCCCATACTTCAAGAGTTCCACTGTATTATCCAGATTCACTCTGGTTCCTACTGCAGTTTGACACCCCTTTGATGGATGATGGATGAAATATCAGTAGGGTGGTTTTTGCATCCTGTGGTTGGCTGGAACTTGAAAGACTGGAGCAGTGATGTCTGCATGTCTGAATTAGGCACATTTCTTCAGCCAAATCAAACTGATGAAATTTGGCCAGTGAAATACTCACAGGAACCCACCCTATGTTTTCACATTCTTCTATTCCACATCTTTTCTACCAGAGGATAAGTAAGAACTTTAGCCTGCACGTTGCAGAATGAGGGCTGAGTGGAAGATGGGAGCCAGTTTGGTTGGATCCACAGTCTGATCGTTACAGAATTTAAGTTACTACTCAAAGAAGAATTCTTATTTTACAATAAACACCTTTTACTGTAGTTGTCCTTAAACATAAATTTAGATGAAAATTTGGATGAAAAGATACTCAGCATTACTAGTAATGAGGGAATATAAATAATCCATGAGGTACCACTATACACATAATAAATCAGCTCAAGTTAAAAACACAATACCAGTATTGAAGAGAGTGTGGAGCAGCTGGAAATATCATACATTACATTATTATAATGGGAATGCAAAATGGTAGGGCCACTCTGCAAAAATACGGCAGTATCTTTTAAAATTAAACATACATTTACCATATGACCATTCCTACGTATTTACTTCAGACATTTGTATGTGAAAGTTCATAACAGCATTATTCACAGTAGCTAAATTGAAAATAGTCCAAATATCCATTAACCAGTGAATAAATAATCAAATTGTAATGTATTCATCCATCCAGTATTCATTGAAATAGTACTCAGCAATAAAAAAGGAATTAAATGCTAATATATGCAAAACCATAGCTGACTCTCAAAAATATGCTTTTAAGTGAAAGATGTCAAGGCTAGCAATGTTAGTGGCATATAGCAATGGGCAAGTTTCTCTTCTCTTGAATTGCCTCAAGCCGGAAGTAAGTGAAATAAAGTAGCAGTGGGTACCAGAGTTTCTGTAGCTGGACCAGGAATGGAAGTAGGCATTCTTGCTCTCACTGATGGCCCCTATTAATTGGTATGTCCAGTTCTCATTCCACACTAGTCCCATAGTAGACATGGAATGAGACTGCTAGATATGAAATCTTGTACAGTATTATGATTTTATTGACCTCTTTGGCCAGTTTATAACCTGATTTATCTTTTGATGTTTTCAATTTGTGTTTTATTGGGCTTTTAAGCATTACATCTTAGGTAGAGGGTATTGAATATATTCTTTGTGGTAATTTTATGAAATTATATTTACAGGTTCAGAAAGTGCCTCTCCAGTCCATTCAGCTCTGGGATCCAGGTCACAGACACCTTCTCCTTCCACACTGAATATAGATCACATGGAACAGAAGGATCTACAGCTCGATGAGAAGCTCCACCACTCTGTCCTACAGACGCCAGATGACCTAGGCAATATTTGGAAATTAGATCTTTGCCATTCTTTCCTTTCAGGGCATTAGTGTCAGGAGATCTTAAATAAGGCATCTTAACTTTGGTTATTTTATATATGTTATGTAAATATTATTATAAGTCTTTTGGACTTTTCTGTCTTTGGGAAATTAATTAGTATAACATTTTTTTTCTTGCCCTTAAAGATATTTGCATTCTGATTTTTGTTATTTGATATTTTATTATAGTTGATTATGGTCCTGGTATTAGTGGTTACATTATTTTTGTATGTTATATTATCATTTACGTTACCATTTCCTAAAGCAGGAAATACATAGTTTGGCATCGTTATTCTTAATATTTTATCTGAAGAACCTGCTGAATCAAAGTAGGCAGTCCAAATGAAGTATTTTTATATTTAAGTAAATGTTTAAAAGTGACTAGGAAACCTTAGAAACTGCAAGTTAATAAAAAGTTATTTTTGTTAAATCCTACATCATGTAACAAGCATCAGGATAAAAAGTCATTTTGCAAATATGCCAGAAAATTTGGTCAAGGACACAGTTGATAAGATATTTGTAATGAATAATGTAAAATACTAGTTTTCATTGGTAATGAAGCACATTTACTCTCTGGCCAAAGGAAGAAATTTAAAACCATGTGACTTCTGCCCCCCTGGCCCCCCCCTTTTAAGGTACTCATTCTCTTTTTTGTTTGTTTGTTTGTTTTTTTTGTGGTACACGGGCCTCTCACTGTTGTGGCCTCTCCCGCTGCGGAGCACAGGCTCCGGACGCGCAGGCTCAGCAGCCATGGCTCACGGGCCCAGCCGCTCCGCGGCATGTGGGATCTTCCCGGACCGGGGCACAGACCCATGTCCCCTGCATCAGCAGGCGGACTCTCAACCACTGCGCCACCAGGGAAGCCCTCATTCTCTTAATATGCAATTACCTTGTAATTACACAGCCCTGATTTTCTGGTTTGTAGATTATTTCTGACTTTTTCTTTCCTCCTCTTGGCCTGCAGTTTTTTGGGTTTTTGGTTTTTATTTTCAGCTTTTCCCCCAACATTTGGAAAAAATTTCAGACTCATGGAAAAGTTGCAAGACTAGTAAAATGAATACCCATAAATCCTTCAGATAAATTCACCAGTTGTTAATATTTTACCACTTTATCTTTCTCTCTCTCTCCCCACACACACACACACACACACACACACACACACACACACACACACACACACACACACACACACACACCCATTAAAACAACCCCACCGTACCCACCCTTTTTTTTTTTCTGAGCCATTTAAGAGTGAATTGCAAGTATCAGACCCTTTACACCTAAACACTTGAGCAAGTATGTCCTAAGAATAAGTATACATTTCCTGCATAACCATAATATAAGGGCCACGTTCAGGATATTTAACATTGATACAGCATTGCAATTTTAGTCTATATTCAGTTATCCTCAGTTGTTCCAATAATATCCTTCATAGTTACCAATCAGTTGAGTTATCACTATATTATGAAGGTTCTGTAGAATAGGGAGATGTTAACAGTGATGGTTAACCCTGTAGTGTTTTTTTAAAATTTTATTTTAGTGAATTTACACCAGAAACCTGTTTTTATTATTGTGAAAGACTGTCCAGTAACTTTTTAATAATATACTCAGTTATTGTACACTTTACATGCAGAGAAAAATGTTAAACATTAAGAGTAAAGGATATACATATACTGTGTATGACTTTGTAAATTATCAGTACACTGACATATTATCAAGCAGGAAAAAGTCTTTACTGACTTTCTAATGATTTTGCCTTTTCCATTATATACATTGCATAGAATGATGGCTTTTTTTTTTTTTTTTTTAAGCTGGAGGAGATCTATAATGATACCTACCTAAAACATCTATTTTACAGATGAGGAGCTGTAGCTTCAGGGAGGTTATTAAATAATTTGTACAATATCACATAATTAGTGACAGAAATGAGACTAAGACCCTAGGTTACCTATATGTCTTATATAGAATCATGCCAATATTAATAAACAAAAGAAATGTAATTATGGAAATTTTAGATTATATTTAAATTATTTTTTTCATGCCATTGTGATATCCCTTTTAATGCTAGCCCTGACTTAATTGTGAAATACAGAAATATATTTCTTCGGAAGGTTTAATTACAAAGAAATAAGCTTAGGAAGACCCTACAGGATCTGCCTTCAGCCTGAGATTTTCTGTTAATTTGATGATGGAACTTGAAGTAGCTATTAGTTTAAATAGAGAGTATGTACTTATAAATACGATCTTTATGTCAAACGTAAATTTCTCCATCTAGTATCTGCCATCATTTTCTCCTTAGGTAAATCTAGATAGATGCCCTATTGCATAAGTAATTATTGTCAAAATAAGGAATTATGAACTAGCGAGGTTTTGACCTTACCAGGAAAAAATAACACTGATGCATCTTAACATTTCTTTTATTCACTTTTGTAGATACTTAAGATTATTAATTTGACTCCTATGTGTTTTTGTGATCAATTCTCTAGAAAAATTACTGACACCAGTGAATTATTTTTTTCTATAGAAATCAGTGAATTTCCATCTGAATGCTGTAGTGTGATGGCAGGGGGCACTCTCACAGGATGGCATGCTGATGTTGCTACTGTAATGTGGCGAAGAATGCTAGGTATTTTGGGAGATGTCAACGCTATTATGGATCCTGAAATACATGCTCAAGTTTTTGATTACCTCTGTGAACTTTGGCAGAATCTAGCTAAGGTAAAAAAGAAAAAGATAAAAAGGGAGAACGAAAGAAAAATAAAGTATTAAGAAGTACAGAAAAAGCCTTAGATAACATCTACCCCCGCACTACGAACTGATGCCTTAACCATGTTTAAATATATTGTTAGTGGTAGGAACTAGATCTCAAGTTTAAGGTAAAACAAACTGGGAAAGAGAACACTTTTCATAGGTTTGTTGCATTTTATTTGAAAATTACAGATTAGAGATAACCTCGGCATTTCAACTGATAACCTGACCTCCCCTTCTCCACCGGTTTTAATTCCTCCACTGAGAATTCTTACACCTTGGCTTTTCAAGGTAAGCTTAATATATAAAATATTAATTAAAAAGTTTCATTTAGTAAATAAGTATGTGGTCAGTCTCAAACAGTAGAGAGCGAAGACTATTGTGTAGTCTTCTAGAGCACTTAGTTTTGTTTTTTGTGTGTTTTGTGTTTTTTTGCTTTTGTTAAAATTTATTGAAGTATAGTTGATTTACAGTGTTGTGTTAATTTCTACTCTACAGCAAGCAAAGCGATTCAGTTATACATATATATATACATACTTCTTCATGTTCTTTTCCATTATGGTTTATCACAGGATATTGAATATAGTTCCCTGTAGAACACTTAATTTTTAACTAGCCATTAGGGGTTATATAGAGGAGAGTGGGTCTAGCAAAATTATTATTTAGGTTGCATCATTTTTATTACTAAAACAAAAATGAATATAGTAAATTATGTTTTTATTGTATTTAAATGTAAACCTCAGTTTTATGTTATAGAATATGCTATGTACTTCTAAAGAACTAATTCTTTTAAGTATTATTTGATATGTTTGGTGCATTTTCCTAAGTGAAACAGTGTATAGTTATTCACACCTACATTGTATCATTTTAATGATAAAAATAATTTCAGGAATTCTGATATTTAGTTCATTAAAGAAAATGGGCCAACATAGAAATAAATGAAAACAAATATATAGCTTGCTGTATTCAGTTGTTTCAGTATTTAACAAACAGTATTTGGTTTTGAGTATTAAAAACAGCATCTTTCAATTGTAGGCAACCATGTTAACTGATAAATATAAGCAAGGTAAATTACACGCCTATAAACTTATTTGTAATACAATGAAAAGAAGACAAGATGTTTCTCCAAATAGAGATTTCCTAACACACTTCTACAATATAATGCACTGTGGATTACTTCATATTGACCAGGTAAATATATGTACTTTCCAACAAGTCGCTTTATAAGTTTATCTTTGATTCTTTATTCTGTTTAACTCTTGACTTTCAAGGTGTAGAATTAAAAACATTCCCTTATATTGTAATTTATTTACAGATTTATTCCATTTATAACCTCATTTATTCTGAAACATAGTTTCAAAACAAGCTATTGTAGTTGGGAGATTGACTTGATTATTAAGTGCATCTTTCTTCTAATGTTATATGAACTGTTCACTCTTTGAAGAGATTAAAACATCCTTTGCTTACGCTGACAACATCTTCCTTTAATGTCCTAATGTACTTATTCTTAGGTATTTTGTAATTGTTACTTGATAACTGGCAATTGGGACTTATGTATTTGCTCAGCTAGTCATGCAGCAGTCAGAGGTTTTTTACTACTCTAAGAGTCAGCACATCACATTTTCTTATTTTTATAAATTGTATTACCATAGTGACAAGTATATTGATTTGCATCAATATAGTCATTACATTAGATAGTCATAAATATGTCTCTAGAACATTATTTCACGGGTCTTGATCCTGGCCTTAAAACTGAAAAGTACAGGAAGTTGCCGGTCAAAGTAGTGTAGATGTTTGTAATCATAACATGATTAAATTTCACTTGCAGTTCATTTCAGGAGCATTAAATTAATATTAAAAGATGATAATGTATCTTTCTGAAAAGTGAAAAAACTTCTTGTGTTAATTTGAAATAATTATTGTGTTCTACCTTATAAACATGTCTCAAATAAAATGATATTCTTAATTACTGGATAAAGAGCTTTCATTTAAATTGGATTGAGTAATACAACCTGCTATACTGCATCCTCCTGGTAAATTCCAAAGGCAATATGAATGAACAACCAGGTTGAGAATATTCCCTTAAAAATGCCTACATCTGGATTTCTGAGGCTAGATGTCTATTATCAAAGGACTTCAATTTTTCTAAAAAAGAGAATTTCTCCAGTTGCCACATAACAGGTCATGCAACATCAGAGTTATCACATGGAAGCAAATAGGTGGCAGAAGGAACTACTCTGTAATTAAGTTTTACAGCACTTGGCCTTTTTTTTTTTTTTTTTTTTTTTTTTGTGGTACGCAGGCCTCTCACTGTTGTGGCCTCTCCCGCTGCAGAGCGCAGGCTCAGCGGCCATGGCTCATGGGCCCAGCCCCTCCGCAGCATGTGGGATCTTCCTGGACCGGGGCACGAACCCGTGTCCCCTGCATCGGCAGGCAGACTCTCAAGCACTGCGCCACCAGGAAAGCCCGGGCCTTATATTTTTAACCCTCCGAAGTAGAGACCCTTCTAACTGGCTCTCTAGGGTGAAAAAAAAAAAGGCTGTATTGATGTCAGTTAAAAAAACAAGTGTTTTCAGTTTACTTTCCTGTGACAAAATATAGTATTAAGCATGGATTATTTGGAAGAATTAAGATTAGTCTTTCCAGTTAGCCAACCAGTTATAGTTACTACCTGTTTTATTATTTCATACATTGTCTATTTTTAAGGATATTGATTAGCTGATACCCAAGATTACATTTGTGATATTTTCTTCTCCTCTTCTCTTTATTCCTAAGGATATTGTCAATACAATCATCAAGCACTGCTCACCTCAGTTTTTTTCACTTGGTTTGCCTGGTGCCACAATGCTTATTATGGATTTTATTGTAGCAGCTGGTAGAGTGGCTTCTTCAGCTTTTCTCAATGTAAGTTTTCATTTCCTGTCTTCATAATATAACAAACTGTGGTTAACCAAGATTCAGCTAACAGAGCAACAAAGGAAGAGCCATTGTTGATAAAATATAACAAACTGATGTTCAGGAAGTTATGTAATTTAATTAGAATTGATTGTCTCTCCCACTTTAAAAAAAAAGTAAACAATTCTGAAGTGTAAGAAAGTACTAAAATTATTTGATAAATTGATCCAGGAGCTACAAAAATGGGTTAAATCTGATAAGCAAAACAATTTAAAATTGAGGAAATCTAAGGAAACAAACAGGGAGGGAAGAAAATTTTGAAAATGGGCAATGAGCTATAGCAAAAGAGAAGAAAGAAATATAGGTGAGGTAACCCAGAAATATGCTCTAGGAGTAAACTCTAAAACAGCATGTGAGGATTTTTCATACAGTTTGGAGCTGTGAGACAATGCCAGGTAACTTAGTATAACTGGAACATGGTCAGATATAAGTGGCAGAAGTGAACTAAGGAGGAAGGCAGTAACTCTGTTTATAGTGCTCAAGAGGCTAGATTTCATCCTAAGCAAAGAATGAGTAGCTGTTGAAAGATTTTAAGCAGAGTGACATGATCACGTTTGTATTTTAGAAAGATCACCCTGGAACAAAGTATAAATGAGAAATAACTGAATGTCTACTGGGAGAAACTAAAAGTATTTGGGAAAGAAAAATCAGTCATACTTGACTAGTGCTTTATAACTTGCAAAGCAGTTTAACATATGTTATTTCATTTATAAGCTGCAAAAGACCAACATTGAATGAAAAGGAGTTCTATTTGGGGCATAGGAAGCTGCCTGTTAGACACCCATGAGATGTCAGAAGGGCCACTGTATGTACGAGTCAGGACCTCAAAGGAGATGTCTGGACCAAAAATGTAAAGCTGGGAGACGTTAGCTTACAGATGCTATTGAAAGCCATGAAACTGGATACAGTCACCTAGAGGAAATGTGCAAATAAGAGAACAACCCATATTTATAGCTAGTTATTAACCCTGTTTCCTTAGTTCCTGGAGAACAGTGATCATGTCTTACTTATCTTGGTATCTTCAGGGCCTGGCACAGCATCATGGTTATAGGTATTTACTAATTGAATCTGTAAATATATATTCAGCACTTAGTATGTGTTCAACATGGTGCTAAGCCCTTTTGTGGTTATTAAACTTTTGTTTCCCCTTGTGTACAAAGTGTTCCTTTGGGTGGAATATAGAAGGATATAGAATAAATGAGATACACGTTGTACTCAGGGAACATATAGTCTGCTGCTGGGAAGATAGAAAAATATATTAACAACTATAGAATGTAGGACAACAAAGAGGTACCAGTAGGAGGAGCTTAGCATAGTGGTTAAAAGCATGGGTTCAAATCCCAGCTCTGCCACTTAATTGGAGGTGAGACCTTGTGCAAGTTACTTGATTTCTCTGTGTCTAAGTTTCTTCATCTATAAAATGGAGGTAACCATCTGGTTATTTTATGGGGATTTGAGTTAATATTTGTAACATGGTTGGAACATTATATGACACATTGTATGTGCAATTTAAGTGTTTGTTAAACAAAATAAATTTATTTGGTAATTAAGACAGAGGAGAGATCTTTTTTTTTAAAGGGATATCAGGAGGTTCCATGGAAAAGATATTTGAGTAGGTCCGTGAAAGATTAGTAGTATTTTTATGAGTGAGAATGGAGAAGGGGGAAGGTATTCCAGGCATAGGGAAACAGGCATGAGTAAGCTGTGTCCTAGGAATGACAAATAATTCATTTTGTTTACAAGCCAGTTAGTCTCACTAGAGAGTAGTAGATTCAAAGAACAGAAAGGTACTTTAGATCCCAGCTACCCAAAATGTGGTCTGCACACCGGAAACATTTGGCATGCAGAATCTCAGACCTCATCCCAGACCTACTGAAACAGAATATACATGTTAACTATATCCCAAATAATTGGTATGGACAGTAAAGATTGAGAAGCACTGCTTTAGACTATATCTTGGAGGGTCTGTTAATGCCAGGGATCAGATTATAATGCTGTATTTTATATTAGATAAACAGTTGAATTTTTTAGAGTAGGGAGAGAGATGATTAAATCTGTGCTTTGCTAATGTTAAATAAGTGTATTAAACTGAGAATAGATTAAATGGAAGACAAACTAAAGATGGTAAACAAGTTACGAGGCTATTGTAGTATTAACAGAGTACACAGATTATCAATCTCTTGGATATTGGCAAAAGCTGATAGAACTCAGAGGAGCCTGATGCATAAACCAATGCCATTTTTTTATGCATTTACTATGAAAACTATAACTGTTCAGTTGGCTGATTATTCCAGATGAGTAGTCGGCACATTTCCTACAGCCCTGATGTCCTTAGGCATCCATTTTAAATTTATTTATTTATTATTGGTTTTTTTGGCCGTGTTGGGTCTTCATTTCTGCGCAAAGTCTTCCTCTAGTTGCGGCGAGCGGGGGCCACTCTTCATCGCGGTGTGCGGGCCTCTCACTGTCGCAGCCTCTCTTGTTGCGGAGCACAAGCTCCAGACGCGCAGGCTCAGTAGCTGTGGCTCACGGGCCCAGTTGCTCCGCGGCACGTGGGATCTTCCCAGACCAGGGCTCGAACCCGTGTCCCCTGCATTGGCAGGCAGATTCTCAACCACTGCGCCACCAGGGAAGCCCAGGCATCCATTTTATGTGACTAAACCTTCCTCCTATCTAGAAGGATACTACTTATGTAACATCCTTGGGAAAATTTTAAAAACAGTTGTTTTCTGTTTTCTGTGGTTCTTATGAGGAACACCTATTGAGAAAGGCTGCATAGGAAGCCAAATCATTACAATAATTAAACCTGACACATCTCCACTGTAAGGTTATGGGCAGTCTTTTCCTCTGGACGGTGTTGGAGATACACAGTCTAAATCTTGCTCTTTGGAGTTTCATTTTAGATCCCACACATATCATCTTCCTTTTGTTAATCCCCCTGCCCCCAGGCAGATTTCAAAGTAATTTGATTAGGTTTTGCCTTTCTTAATTACAGTTCCATTCCAGTTCTGCCTCCCATTATGCCCCACATACCTGAATGAATATTCCCAGTTTTTTTATCCAACTTTAAAGAAAAACCCTTAGCTAATCTCCATCATTAAATATTGGGGGTGTTTTTCAGTTTCATTTTTATAGTAAAATGGATTTTAAATCGGGATGGTGGATGTGAGCTTACCCTGCCCCATTATGCTGCTGGCCTTGTATCTGTAAATCTAGATTATTTTTTTAATATGGAAATGAGTTGTTTTGTTGAAAATCATATATCACCTCTGTTATAACATTTATTAACAAGGAAATCCTTTGGAGATAGGTTCTTGTTTTATGTAAATAGAAGAAGTTTTATATTTCTAATAGGTTGGTTTTAGCATTTTTGTTAGGTGTTATTAAACATATAAATCAATTTGTAGGTATTTTGGTAAACAAAGCAATTTATCAGTAGGTGGATGTTGATGTTAGGTGGGCATGCAAGAAGGCAGAAGAAAAATGAAATGTTCAGTGCTGATACTTCAGAAATGGCTTAATACAGCTAAGGAAAAAAGATGAAAAGTTACCTTCATCTGCAGTCCAAGCATAATTTCTAATTTTGTTTTTAGTAAGTAGTATAGGTAGTGTTTTTATCATGTGCATAGTATCATAAAACACATCTAGACTAATGCCTGTGTCTTGAAGATATATTGACCATTTTCATCCTTAGTTACTTTATTCATCCTTAGATAGTAACGGATATAATCTAGAGATCATGAGTCTTCTCATTAGAACAATATGTTACTAATGTGTGAGTTGCATTTAGAATGAAAGTATTTATGTTTTTCCTCAAAATCAGGGTAATTTTATGCTGTTAGCTAAAACTGTATTCCTGTCTACATACTCAGTGGCTGTACCCACATTTCTGCTTATTAGCTGCTCTTAAAGAAAGCTCTACTACTTGTTCATTGCATTTATTGAGAATAACAGTAGTTTTAGTGGAAAGTATAGATGAAAACCTAATCTTTTTGTGTTCCCCTTTCTCTTTGAATTTTGCTTGTACTCTGACTTCCCTGTGTAATCTGGTTAGGTAATAAAGTAATTTTTCTGATAATTAAAGATTTTTAAAATCTGATACATAGGCACCAAGAGTGGAAGCACAAGTTCTTCTTGGATCTCTGGTTTGCTTTCCCAACTTATATTGTGAACTGCCTGCTCTCCATCCCAACATTCCTGATATTGCTGTGTCTCAATTTACAGATGTTAAGGTAAGAAATTAGGTGCTAATTTTTAGTGTTTAAATGACTTTATAATCATAACAGTATATTCAATAAAATTTGTGTTCTTCATTTTCCTCTTGAAATCCACACAATTGTTAAAGAACTTTAGCCAGGTGTACCCCTCAGACACAAAGGCTGGAATGTCCATTAGGAGCATAACCTTTTTTTATAACTATTACTTTGGAAACATTTTCTCATTATTGAACCCAGTCACATGTCATTATCTTAGAATTCATTCATTCACTCACTGAACATTTATTGAAATCCCATGAGCCATATACTATGCTGCTAATGTAAGGCTTCTAAGATTGAGATGGCACTCGACCTGCATATTTGACTGTCTCCTTCTCACAGTTTTCCAAGGTGATGAATCAAACAATGTAATGGAATATTCTATTCTGCTATAGGAAACTGTGGAATTGGGGTGGAGATCCCATGTACCTGAAGCATTAACAGGCTTGAGTAAGATGGTGCAAAATTGAGCTGTCTATACAATTGCTTACCCGGATAGTAAATCTTTAAAAAAAAAGAAAAAAAAAAGATAGTGTCTGATTAGGAGTAGACATACCCTAATTGTTGTTTACAAGCCTTTTTAAAAATTTCAAGTAAAAAAAATTGGTGAAAAGTTGTTTTGTACCTCTGTAGAGGTCAGCCTCTGTTTGAAGGGGAAGGTGTGACATGATCAGAATCCTTAGTCCTCTGGACTCAGTAATTCTTAGACCAAGATAGAGGGGAGTGGTGTGATCAGGTCTCCTAGTTAGGATAAAGGCACTTAGTGCTCTGGACCCAGCAATGTGCCTGGTAGTGAATAATTCCGTCACTAAGTCAAGACCTGTCTCTAGCTGAATGCCCATGTATTATAAATTCCCACAGGTATAACAGTCCTAAGAAGTTGTGCTTGTTATAGTAATTGCCAGATGGTCTCTGTTTGACCTGAATTGGCCCTAGAATTAGAAGGGAAAAGAGAATAAAGAAGGGACGAGAGAGGGGCATTCTATCTCCTCAGAAGTCATGCTGATGATTTTTTTTAAACTTGTGCTTTCTCTGAAAGAAATGTTTTAAATCAAATTTTTGTCAGTAGTTTTGCATATACTTTCCATACCACCTGTATTTCTCTGTGCAACATTTGTGATAATTACACTTGTAATTATTTTTCAGTGTCTGATTTATACTTTTTAGACAAATAAGTACCACAAGGTCTTAGTTACTGCTATATCCTCAGAGCTTAACACATTGCTTGGCATGTAGAATATGCTCCAAAAACATTTGTTAAACAAGTGAACTTCACTTAAACATAAAATTGTAGGGGCCGATGCAAATTTATAGTGATATTTAATCAAAACTATAGAAATTGACCTTTGGTCTTCAGGGATGTAATGGCTTTGGTTTCTTCTATTTTCAGAAGATCCTGAAGGTCAAAGATAGGTAAGAGTTTCAGTTTGCTTAGGCTGTTTTGAGTTTGTTTGGGCTTAGCCTAGCCTACTATATGTGATTTGTATGATCAGAGTGGCCTTGTCCTTTGCTGGCCATTGTATAGGCAGTAATGGCTGAAGTGATTTTTTAAAAAACCCAAAATAACACTATTACATAGAAAGTTCTTGGGCTTAAACGATAGGTAGCTTCCAAGTATCTATTAATTGCTAGCCATTGGGTTAGGTGCTAAATTCACAAAGATAAGTAGAAGGTTACTCCTCTAAGGAGCTTACAATCTAGATAGCTGATAAATCCTTAATGAGTGAATAATTGATTTTAAAAAACCATATTAACTATTAACTAGCACTTATCCCAAAACTCACACATAAGAAGAGGAAGCTTTCTTTTAAATGATAATTCTCAAAGTTGTGAAAAGTTTTGTTCATACCTTTGAGCTATTAAATCTGCTTTAGTTATCTTTATAGTGAGCATTTTATTACTCTTCTAATCAGGAAAAAGTTTTTGAACATATACATTTGGTGATAAATTTCAAAAATCATTTGTCTGCTATAACAAAATACTACAGACTGGGTAGCTTGTAAGTGACAGAAATTTATTTCTCACAGTTCTGGAGGCTAAGTCCAAAATCAAGGCTCTAGCATAATCACATTCTGGTGAAGGCCCTCTTCCTGGTTCATAGCCGGTGCCTTCTTGCTGTGTCCTCACAGAGTAGAAAGTGCTTAGGGAACTCTGTGGGAGTCTCTTATTTATAAGAGCATTAATCCCATTCATAAAGGCCCCACTCTCATGACCTAAGTACCTCCTAATACCATCATCTTCAGGGGTTAGGATTGCAACGTACGAATTTGGGGGGAAGGCACAAACATTCAGACCATACCATTGTTTTATTTATTTAGCTAATTTTATGAATAACATTGGAATATACTAAAAGTATGTACATGGGAACGAAAAATGTCTGTTTTATTTTGCTATTGTATCCCTAGCGCCTGACACAGTGCCTGGGTCCGTGGTGGCTGTTTAATAAATATTTGTTAAATAAATGAATGAAAAATCTTAGTCATTGCTAATATTTCTCCTTCATTTTAGGAACTTATAATCAAAACTGTATTAAGTTCGGCAAGAGATGAGCCCTCTGGTCCTGCACGGTAAGTCAGATATTCTTAACACTTGACATAGCTATTCTGTGTTTGTAGTTTTATTTTAGAAGTTAATGGAATTATTTAGCAGTCCAGATTGTTTCAGATACACAAAAGGTATTCTGAATCACAAATTTAAATTATTTGGATGATTAAATACATTTTTTCATTATTTAAGTATGAACCTTCCCTTCAGTAAAAAAATAAAATCCTAGTCACCTTCTTCAGTATCTTCACCTTCTGTGTCCAAAATGATTTCTTTTAATTTTATTTAAGTAGATTTTGCTTTCCCTTCAGATTATATTTGTCACCGTCTCTTATGTAGTACCTTGAAATATGGTACTAGTTACCCAATGAATGTTTGTTAAATTGAATTAAAATATTTTATTGTGGAAAGTAATATATCTAAGAAAATAGTATATATTAATATTTATAAATATTTGATCAGGATATTTTTTAAAAATAGAATGTAAATAAGATTTTAGAATGTTTTTGTTTTTAAATGTCTCATTAAGAAGTGAAAACTGTGGCATTTTGTCTGTGTTACTAAACCTTTCTCAAAAAGGTTGATTTAAATCAGCATGTTGCCTAACCTATAATGGAAAAGAATCTGAAAAAGAATATATATATATAACTGAATCATTTTGCCGTACACCTGAAACTAACACATTGTAAATCAACTATACTTCAATTAAAAAAAAAAAAAGCAGGTTGCCAATAGCATACCATGCTCCTTCTTTTCCCCCAAATATCATTATTTTATATTTTATATTTATTGAACCTCCACAAAGCTGTGTCTTTTTCAATAATCTACACATTATTTGACTCAAGGTTCATAAAGGTACAGATCATGACTTTGACCGTTTGGATTCTAATTCTAAGTTAAACCTTTTCTTTTTCCAACAACTAAAAGTAATATAAAATGAGCAATTTTCCTAAATGAGACACAGCTCCAGCTTTTTAATTCAGTTGTGTATTTTTCTTACTTAATAGCCAAGGTAACTAGAAACAAGTCTTTTTGAGTGAATTCTTTTTCAACATTAATTCTATTTTAATACTGCTCAGCTACTCCAGAAAATGACATTGTCTTTTCCATTATCCCACATTTTCATTTCTTTTAGCTTTAGCCCCAAATTTGATGATTTTCGATATTCTTT